TGTGTTACATGATGTCAAGTTGCATCCAACTTGTAGAAACCCTAATCGGGTTTTCTAGATGTGAGACATTTAAGAAGTGGTTTTGACCAGTATCTCGGTGAGTTTCCATAGTCAAAAAGGAATTTGAGTCCTGGTCTCTTGAATCCTAGACCTTTCAAAATCTATGCCACACACTGGCTCCCAAGGGCACTAGCAGTAGCTCCTCTGGGTGTTTTCCTGGATCCAGCCGTATCATGGGAACCCCAGATTGCAGCCATGATGAGGTCAATCTTTAATCAGCTTTGACTGGTCCACTTCTACTCTATTTCCCCGGAAATAAGCCCTAACCTGAAAACAAGGCCTAGTAGGATTTTTCAGAATGCTCGTAGTATAAGCCCTAACGCAAACGTAAGCCCCAGTGAAGTGAAAACCCTTCCACCCTTGTGCAGCAACCAGAAGAAGATGACACGACTATATCTGAATAAATGTAGATGGTTGTACATGAAAAAAAAATAAAACATCCCCTGAAAATAAGGCCTAATGCATTTTTGGGAGCAAAAATTAATATAAGACCCTGTCTTATTTTCGAGGAAACATGGTATCCTTACCTAAAGGTGGGCAGCTGGAAGATCTTGCTGATCTCAAGGATTGACTACTGTAGTGCTCTCTTCATGGGGCTTCCCTTTGAAACTGACCCGGAAACTCCAACAGGTACAGAATACGCGGCAGCCAGACTGGTGTTGGATATAAAGAAGTACAAGCACATTTCCCTGGTTCTGGTCAGTCTGCAGTAGCTGTCTGTGTTGTACTGGGCCCAGATTCAAGGTGCTGGTTCTTACCTATAAAGCTCTTCATGGTTTGGGACATCAGTACCTGTTGGAGCATCTTTCTCTAATAACATCCATCCACACCACCAGTTCATCACAGGCCATACTCCTCTAGGTCTCCACACTGAGTGAGGCCAAGAAGTTATAAGCTAGAAACGGGGCCTTCTTGGTTGTGGCCCCATCCTTTTGGAATGGGCTCTGGATGGAGCTACGCCTGGCCACCTCCCTTACTACCTTTAAGAGGATGCTCAGGACAAGAATGTTTACTGAAGTCTTTGAGAGGATCCTCTCAGCATAATATAACCGGCTACTTTTAGACTGCCCATTCACCATTATCTGGTTTTCATTGATTTATTCAATTGATTATACAGTGGTGCCCCACTAGACGCTTACCCCGCATGACGTTGAAATCGCTGGATGATGACATTTTTGTGATCACTATTGCGATCGCAAAACAATGGTTCCAATGGGGAAAATCCACTTTACATTGATTAGAAGCCTGCTTTGCGAACTGTTTGTTCGCAAAACGATGTTTTTTCTGGCTCCGCAAAATGGCTTCCCTCCCTTCTCCAAATGGCTGCTTTCAGGACGGAAGCTTCGCATTACAGCAAATTAGAACAGCAGATTGGTGGTTCTCTATGGGCAATCTTAGCTGAACGATGAGGTATTTCCCCCATTGGAACGCACTGACCGGTTTTCAATGCATTCCAATAGGGATTTTTTTCCCCGCTTGACGACGATTTCGCTTAACAGCGATTTTGCTGGAATGCATTATCGTCATCAAGCGGGGCACCACTGTATGTTGTGTTTGTTTCTGGCTATATTTATGATTTGTTTTACTTTATGTTTACTCAACTCTGGATGTAAACCGCCCAGAGTACTGTTTATTGCTATTTGGTGCAGTATACAAGTTAACTAAATAAATGAATTTCCCAACAATTACCTGGTGATTGGTGGCAGAAACTTTCCAAACTTTAAAGGCTCGTGCAGGGGTCACAAGACCCCCTGCCCAAAGTCTTCGAGAAAGAAGGCAGGGTAGAGGGAGAGGAAGTGGCTGTTCACAACTCAAAATAGTTCTAGCCAGCAGAGCCAGTGGTGAGGAATGTTGAAAATTTACAAACCAAAAAACATCCACTGGGGTCTAGTTTCCCATCCCTGTCATGAAGGATTTTGCCTTCTAGGAAAGCAATAAACTTTGGGGCATATCTGATCTGAATTGCGTGGGTAGAAATGGCTAGTATTGTTGGGCTAGTGTTGTTCAGTTCCCCTGGTGGGCTTCTGATCTTCTTGTTCTCCTGCAGAATTTTCTATTCTCTTTTGGCTTGTATTATAAATCTGTGGAACACTGCTGAGAAATCATCAGAAACAAGCCAGTATGGTTTAACAAACTGTAAATCAAAAGCTAATCCGACTCTATTGACCCAGTGTGACTTGTTCTTAAGATAATTCCATTAGTCAATAAAATGAGGATTATGATTACTACAGCAGAAACTGGGAGATGGCACAGTGTGTCGTAATATATTGGTTGTGTGTGTATGTTTTTTAAAGGGTGCACCCTTCAGTGTTGAACAAAACCAGCCTTTTTAAAGATCCCTTTAAATTTTTCCGAGTGTTGTCATTTTCTTGAGATCTAAGAATGATTTTTAAAAACAAAAGTAAAATCATTGGAATGTGGGGTTATAATGTCCTGTTTCCCCGAAAATAAGACCTAACCTGAAAATAAGCCCTAGTATGATTTTTCAGGATACTCATAATATAGGTTCTACCCCAAAAATAAGCCCCAGTTAAGTGAAACCCCACCCTCCACCCTTGTGCAGCAACCAGAAGAAGATGACATGACTGTAACTGAATAAATGTAGAGTGTCGTACATGGAAAAATAATCCCATGAAAATAAGCCCTGATTCGTTTTTTTTTGGGGGGGGAGCAAAAATTAATACAAGACCCTATCTTATTTTTGGGGAAACATGGTAGCAAAAGGATATATATCTGCAGTCCTTATTTACATCTAAGAAAACATTGCAGGTGCTTGAATTATTTTTTAAAATACTCATTTTTTATGGACTGGTGGCAGTGTACAGTTTTGCAAATATTAAGAAGTAGTGGCAATTTAATTTTTAGAATATGATGAAGGATTTTGCTATCTGACTGTTCTGTTTGTGAGTGCATCAATAAAGTGAGGTTGTTTGGAGACGAAACTCATTTATTCTCCATCCATGATGGTTTGTTTATTTCTCCAATGTCGGTTTATATTGCATAGCTGCAGATTTTAGGAGAAGGGGCTGAACAGCAGTGGTATACCACATGCTTTGCATCTGAAAGTACACCTAGAGTCATATGCCTGCAATCATTGGTGGTCCCTAGAGAATCATTATCATTTATTTTCAGATCTTGGAAAAGGTGGCTATTGTTTTTTGAGGTGGAGGGGCTACAAGTCCCAGATCCCTCACTTAAATCAAATTTAAGTGATTTATAGACCGGAGGCTTTCAAAAGGTGGTTAGCTGAACACTGTTAGTCTCAAGGTCCATTCAGATGGTGTGTAGACATTTAGAACAGCCAAGGATATGCATGTTTTCCTAAGCTCTATTCCCTCACCTCTTATAATGAGGATCCAGGACATTTTGACTTAGACTAAACACTAAAGCAGGGCCTTAGAGAACTAAAAATGGTAAATAACAAGCAGGTTAATGGAGAAACGAGTTGAGTCTGTTGAAAACAGCTGAACTACATGGCTAGGAAAAGTGACGTATTGAACATGTTTCTGATTGATGAAGGAATAAGCAAGTGTGAACACTTTATTCACATTTTAGACACTTCACTTACAATGTATGTTTGCTGCCTTGGGTATTTCAGTAAAGCTTTCTGGCCCTAGGGTTGGGTTCGTGAACAACACAATTTTAGCACAGAGTAAACAGTCCTGTACACTTGGGTTGTTTGCTTTTGGGTCCTGGTTTCCTACAGCCCTGGCAAGCTCTCCTGAGCAACAAATCTGAGGCAAGCTTTATCTATAAAAGTTGCTTTCCTCCACCTTTTGAAATAAACGTCATGGGGAAAATGCTGTAGGTGGCTATTGTTAAAACTGTATTTAAATAGCACCCTCTCTTTACAGGATATTTTGATCCATGACGCACCGCTAGAAGTCCAAATTAGATAACAAAATCATTTCCAAGAGTTTTCTTCAGGTTTATTAAAAAAAATCTACCCTTTTTCATTACACTGGACTCTAAACACTGGAAAAACATAGGACAACAATGCTATTTACGAGTGGAAATGTAGTTGTCTTTTTTTCTGAGTGGGCTGGTCTGGACCTGTGGCTTTTAACTGGTATGCTCTGGCAGTCTCTCACTGAGAAGACAGATAATCGTGGATAGGGTTCCATGAAAGATGGGTTGTCTCCACTTCTTCCGTACTGTGCAGTAACTGGACGTTGCCAAGTCTGTTGAGGTGTGCTCTCACTTCCTGTCATTTCACATGATATGTGAAAAGCATATACCTGGTCAACAGTCCCGTGACCAATTTTTGCACTCTTTAATGTGTCCCAGAATTCTTTGCTATATACAGTGGTGCCTCGCTTATATATAGTGGTGCCTCGCTTATACAGCAAAATTGCTGTAGAGCGAAAACGTCGTAAAGCAAAAATTAAAAACCCATTGAAACGCATTAAAACCTGGTTAATGCGTTCCAATGGGCTAAAAACTCACCGTCCAGTGAAGATCCTCCATACGGTGGCCATTTTCGGTGCCAGTATAGCGAGGAATCCGTCCCCAAGCACAGCAGGGAGCCATTTTGAGCACCCGGTGGCCATTTTGAAAACCCGACGATCAGCTGTTTTGATCATCGTAATGCGAAGAATCGGTTCCCGCAGCAGGGAACCGATCTTCGCAAAGTGAAAAAGTCCCATTTAAAACATTGTTTTGCAATTGCAATTGCGATCACAAAAACATCGTCATGAAGCGGATTTGTCGTAATGCAGGGTAATTGTTAAGCGGGGCACGACTGTACAGGGTTTCCTGGAAAGACCCTCATGAGACAGATCAGTGTTAAGAGCATGCCCTGAAAAGTAGAATGTTCTCAGAGGTTTATGGGGAGGCTGAAGCGCAGGGCATTAGGGAATGCTGTTGTACTGAGAGCTTGCTGATCTCAGAGGCCATGAACTAACGCTGTTCGCTCTCCGTGGTGTTGTGCATTTTTGCAGAAGGCGTTTTATCTCCCAGCGCTGCTCTCTAGAGTTTTTAGAAGACATAGTGGAATGTGCCAGTGTACGAAGGTACTTGTTCAAAAGCAGCATTAACCTTCTCTCGTTGCATGCTTGGCCAGCCCTTGCTCTCCCCTGCACCCTTTACCAAGTCAAAATACCTAAGGTCCTCCTGCATGTTACGTTCATTCTGTTAACATCCGCATCCTTTTTATCTTCGTTTATTTCTCCTCCAGATCTCTTAACTTGTATCCCCCCCCCCGCTTATATTGTAGAACCAAGCATATATCTGGATCTCCAAGACACAAAGGCTTGAAAAAGATGCATTTCATCAAGAACATGAGGCAGTATGATACAAGGAACAGCAGGTAACCTTTTCTTTCTCTTTTCCAAAGGGCAAATTCGTCCTTTCCCGCAAAGCTAACAGAGTCCGGTGGCATCTTAAAGTGTGAGAAATGTATGATAGCTTGTGCTTTGGAAGACTATATCACTTTATCAGTGTTGGCCATTTGCCAGACTCTTGTTGAAAATACAAATGTCATTCTCATCCACGTCAAATAAAACAGAATAAAATTAATGAATAATACTAAGATAATGTCATTATTAGTAACAGAAATGTCACTATAAGGATTTTTTTAAAATTAATTTTCCTCTGTACATCTTACCTGTGTACAATCCAGACTCTAGCTAGGTAGATTATTTATATATACCTGGCATTCTGTATGACAACATTTCAGGTGTCTGGTAAAACAGACTATAGTCCACTGAAGTATATGGTACTGTACAACATTTGTTAGACTGCTGAGAGCTGTCGCTTTTCTTTAACTGAAGGATTTCCTGTAAGTTTTCAGCAAATTATGGCAAACGATGGTCCACTGATGATGGTCCAAATAGTACATTTTTTTATATAAAAGGGGAGGGGGGCTATATGTAAAAAATAGCCCCTATGAAAAGCCATAGGAAGAGAGGCAAGGCTAGCCTTCCCTCTCTTCATAAGGGGGACCAATAAAAATGGGGAAATATTTGTCCCTTTACTGTATATTCATCGTGTGGAATAATTTGCAGCTAAAGCAGTGTATGAATACTTATCCATGGGCAGGAGAGGAGAGAGATAATAGACAAAGTGGTAATGGCTGAAATCCTGTTGCTTAGCATCATAAATTGCACTAGAGTAGGCCTGTTCAATCCGTGAGGATTGGATGAGTCAACTCTACCATAAATTCCAGTGATTCCAATGTGCCTACTCTATTTGCCTGGTATTACCTGTGCTTGTAACCAGCTGCTGGGGGTGTGTGGTAACAAAGAAGTAATTTAGCTACATTTTTAAAGTAACAATAAATGTTACAAAGTTCCTTTTTGGCATTATAAGTAATAGTTACTTTTTAAAACTACTTTTAAAGAACATCTTTAAAGCACTTTGGCCAGGATTTTTGCAAAGTTCATTCTCGTTCTACTCCCAAGTGGAATGGGAAGTATCGTTTTGTTTCTTCAAGTATTTTCAAGGCACTGGATCAGAATTTGCTGCTAAAGTGAACCAGAGTTGCTTCCCTGTATTTTTCTGGCTTTATTTTTTTTTTAATGACCAGGCAGTAAGTTAATAGCATGCAATGAATTCCTTTTACAAATGGAAAAAACATAATGATATACTGAGAATCTGGCTGTGACTTATTAATGAGTAATAAAATAACCTTGTTCGCTCATTATCTAGCTACGTGGAGCCCCCGTATGCATTGAACAGAATGTGCCATCCCCGCTGTTTCTTTCATGCCATTCAACACATGAAAGCAACAGTTTCATGGCTATTGTTTCTGAGTAGTCCCTCCGCATGAGCCAGAATCCCAGCTATTTTTCTGACGGAATAACATGTTCCCCTCACCGTGTGTGGTCTCAGCATGCTTAAGTAACAGATGAATAGGTCTGACAAATGCCTTAGAAGTAACAAACTATACTGAAGGCAATTTAGCACCAATGATTAGTCAGTGAGTATCTTCCAGGTTTTGGGGGAGGGGAAGAGAGCAATGGGTCTAATTCATACATCAAAAGCAACCACGTTGCTTTGTTCCTTAAGCAAATGCTACATACAAAAAGCTCGTCTAACCTAGGTTTTTATTAAATAGCTATTAGGGAGACCGATTGTGAACATGATAATGCCATTGATGGTTGGTTCACCATGCTCTCTGTGTCTCCTTTCAGGATAGTATTAATTTGTGCTAAAAGGACTTTATGCGTGGCTTTTTCGATTCTGCCGTACGGGGAGAACTTGAGGATCAGGTGAGTCATTTCTGCTTCTTGTTAAGCTAAAAGTGTTCCATCTTTTCCACCTTGCACACTTGCATTCAAAAACGGCACCCCTTTCTTAAGGGAGGAAGCTGCACGACCGAGTGAGTTTATTGTGTAAGTATTGAATTGGATGAGTTTCCATTTTTTCGGCTATCCTAAAACTAAATGCTGCTGATTTTAGCCGAAAAGGGTGAAGGCTAGAGGAGAAGGGGATGACAGAGGACGAGATGGTTGGACAGTATCATCGAAGCAACCAACATGAATTTGACCCAACTCCGGGAGGCAGCGGAAGACAGGAGATCCTGGCGTGCTCTGGTCCATGGGATCACGAAGAGTCGGACACAACTGAACAACAACAACAAAAAGGACGATGGGGGAATGTGAGGCTGGTTCAGAAAGTGGGCTCTGCAAAGCTTCTAATATTCAGTAGGCCTGGGTTTCAGTGCCGTATCACCCATCTATATGGTCCAATCCTGCTGGCGTTCTTGCCACTTGCTTCTGCATTACTCTGTCAAAAAGATGCTTCACTCTTGGAAAACTAACTCTTGAAAGAAGAGTAGAGTATAGTAGTACCCTCCTATTCATGGTATCAGTATCCGCTGATTCACTTATCCACTGGCTGAAAACAGTAATTCAAAAACCCCAGAAATATTTATTTCTAGGATAGGTTTACCAGAAGTGGCCACCAGAGGGAGCCAGAGGCCATGCAATGTACAGTATAGCATTTGATGCTTCCACATTTTTCGGCAACTGCAGGAAGGTGGTGTGTGCTTGGAGCTAATCTGATACTGCAGTCCTACTATAGTTGAATCATGTAGTTGTACAGTACGTGATGGGTCGAAATAGAGACACATGAGCCGGCTTTCAGTGGGTTTTGGAAGTTTTAGAGAACAATTTTAGAGAGTTCTTTTGCAACTGCTATATGAATTCAGCCGCAGATCAATGTGGATGAATTCACAGCATCTTCTCTATATACCTAGATAAACTACAATGCACAGAGAATAACAGAATAAAACTTGTAATGTGCAGTACACTGGCATTTCTCCTATAAGGATTACATTAAGCTACCAAATTAGGTTCCTCTAGGTTCTTAGTCTGCAGTGTGTGCACCTTTGCTTAGAAGTAAGTCCCACTGTAAAAGTGCATGTAATCAGACTTTTACATTATATCAGTGGCTAAGTTGAATCAGAGATGTGTGTATACCCACAAATTTATTTCCAAGTAGATCTAGGATAATCTTTCTTTTTTTCCCCTACGCAGAAAGGTACAGTATACAAATACAGTGGTGTCCCGCTTGACGCTTACCCCGCATAATGTCGAAATCGCTTTGCGATGGTTCCAACAGGGGTTTTTTTTGCTTGATGTCGATTAGGAGCCTGCTTCACGAACCGTTTGTTCACTAAACAATTATTTTTTCCGGCTCCGCAAAATGGCTTCCCCTCGTAAAATGGCTTCCCTCCCTTCTCAAAATAGGTGCTTTCCGGACCCCTGGGATAATCTTTCTTTTTTTTTCCCTACGCAGAAACGTACAGTATACAAATACAGTGGTGTCCCGCTTGACGCTTACATCGAAATCGCTTTGCGATGGTTCCAATGGGTTGTGTTTTTTTTTTTGCTTGATGTCGATTAGGAGCCTGCTTCACGAATTATTTTTTCCGGCTCTGCAAAATGGCTTCCCCTCGCAAAATGGCTTCCTTCCCTTCTCAAAATGGCTGCTTTCTGGAGGGAAGCTTAGCATTACAGTGATTTTGAACAGCTGATCTGCGGTTCTCTATGGGCAATCTTCACTGGACGATGAGGTATTTCCCCCATTGGAATGCACTGACCAGTTTTCAATGCATTCCAATGGGTTTTTTCCCCTTGACAACGATTTCGCTTAAAAGCAATTTTTGTGGAACAGATTATCATCGTCAAGCGGGGCACCACTGTAAACCCAAATTGGCATAGTTTGGATTTTCCCAAAACACAAATGACACATTGGGTTACATTAACATTCAATCAGGAAAATGGGGAAAATAAGAAATTCACTTACTAACTCCCCATTGATCATTCCTGCTCTAACCTGCAAACACCTTCCAGATCCTTCTGCATGTGTAAAACTCAATCATCTGTGCCCAACCCCAAAAAGATAAAAGAAAAGATGTCTTTTTGCCAGTGGAGTTCCTGGACCACAGCAGAGGAACCAAAATCCACATATGGACATGTCTTCTATAAATAGACTATGAGAAACCTCTTTCTCGCTTGATGGGAAAACTGCAAGGCTGCTCCAAAGAGGTCGGCTTTGCTGAAAACTAAACAGACGATCAGAATTGCATTTGGAACAGGGAGGGATACCATGTAGGGCTGTTATGAACACTGACCTCTGTTAAAAATCTCAGAAGGCTGTGTAAATCTATGCTCAGATTAGCCTAGTCATTAATAATATGGGGGCATGAATATATCCTTTGCTATCTTTCATGTCATGTTGGTAAGACGTAGATACTAATACATGCTCTTCCAGTTCTTGGCTCACAACCTGGGACGGATCTCTTAGAACTCAACATCAAAGCCAACCGGGCAGACAGGCATTAAAATGGCAATGCAATTCGCCGTACACCAGCATAAAGTGAAAAATGTTGCCAGCAAAAATTCTGAGCTGGCAATGTCTAGCCAAGAAAATGGGGGCTGTATTGGGAAGCTTGATGAAAACATCAGCCTCTTGTGTTGCAGTTGTTTAAAAAAAGGTTGGGCATCCTTAGAAAAATAATTGAGAATAAAACTGCAAATATCAACTGCCTTTCTACAGATCTATCATGTGATCATATCTGGAATGTCATGTACAGGTCTGTTCATTGTACCTAAAGAGAGGTACAGTGGTGCCTCGCTTGACAAGGATAATTCATTCTGTTCAAATCGCTGTTAAGTGAAATCCTCGTCATGCGAAATTAAAAAACCCATTGAAGTGCATTGAAACAGGTTCAATGCGTTCCAATAGGCGAAATACCTGCTCATTTTTCGAAGATCCTCCATAGGGCGGCCATTTTCCAGTGCCTGTAAAGCGAGGAATCAGTCCTAAAGCACAGCGGGGAACCATTTTGCACAGCAGGTGGCCATTTTAGAGCCGCCAATCAGCTGTTTTAAAATCGTCGTCTAGCAAAAATCGGTTCCTGAAACAGGGAACCAATCATCGTTAAGCAAATTTTCCCCATAGGAACATTGTATAGTGATCGCAATAGCAATCGCAAAAACTTCATCGTAAAGCAGTTTCGTCGTTTAATGAGGTAATTGTTAAGCGAGGCACCACTGTACAGTATTGTAGAGCTTGAATAGGTATAGGAAAGGGCGACAGCCAAAAAAGGTTTTTTAAGGAAATAACATCCATGTGTAGAGATGGGTGCTTCATTTTTGTACCTTGGGGGTATGAATACAAACTGTATAAACCCAGGTGCTGCGGGGACCCAGTTCCCTCCAACAGAACTGGTTGGCCCACTACAGCACCACATGGAGACTTGGTGAGTGAGCCAACCAATTCTGGAGGAGGGAACTGGGTCTCTGTAGCACCAACGATGTTGCGGTTTGTATTCGTCTCCCCGAGATACGAATACGAAGTGACCGTCTCTATCCATGTACAAAATTTTTAAAAAATTGAGTGGGTCGTACCTCTGTAGGACCTCTAAAATAACTGAACATAGATGAAGGCCTGTAGGATTTTAAATCAAGCTGGGCATTGAGAGTTACAGTTCGAAAATCATCCTGGCTAGATGTTGACATTTCTTGATCAATTAGGGTGGTAGTGCCAAATATACCCTCAAAGGATACAGTCCATTGTCTTTCTGCATTTCTAGCACAGTGACAGGAGAATTTACTGAATGGCCCATATCTATTCCTCTGGAGAAATGGAGAAAAAGACCACTGATGCTGTATGATCTGTGATAAAATCTAATATCAACCCGTCTGAAACAGTTCTTTCAGTTGTAGCCTCCTGGACTTTCTGGACTTTCCTGTTTCTCTCCTTCCCTCTACGTCTGTCCATCTATCTTATAATAATAATCATGTGTCATCAAGTCTGTTTCTCTCCTTCCCTCCACGTCTGTCCGTCTGTCTTATAATAATAATCATGTGTCATCAAGTCGATTCTGACTTAACGGTGGTCCTTTTCCAGGTAGAGAAGACTCCAGAGTGGCTTACCATTCCATTCTGGGGGCTCTCCGGGACTAGTGTAGCTTGCCCAAGGCCACACAGGCTGACCCTGCTCACAGGAGGCATAGTGGGGAATTGAACTCCCAGTTGAACTCTGGCTCCACAGACAGATATCTAAACCACTGAGCTATCCAGCTAGCATCTGTCTGTCATTTTCATTTGTACGCCTCCTTTCTCCCAACTAAGGGACCCAAGCCACCCTACAAATGTATTGAAATCACCAGTCGTAAAAAGAAATCTACAGGACTTGAACACTCTCCTGTTCATGATAGTTGAGTGATCAAACCACCTATGTTCTTGCAAAATGATCTAGGTATTGGAGCAGCATGCATGTGGGGAAAGGTTACTTGGAACTATTCAGCCTGTCTTAAAAGGCGAGCAAAGAGAACCATGATAGCAAGAGAGAAATCTATCCATGGTGTGAAGAAAGAAGATTCTCCCTCTTTCTTTCTCTCATCTCAACCTGGGGTACTGAAGTTAAAATAGTGGGAGAGACAAGACAGATAAATGGAGGTGCTTTTCGTCACAGTGCATATTTAAAGTATGAAATTCGTGGCCATAAAACCAAGTTATGCCAACTTGGACATCTTTAAAAAGGACTCAAGAAAGTCATGGAGGATGTAGCTATCAGTGACAACTGTCATACTGGATATCTGTTTCCACCAGTACCAGATGCAGAATACCTCTGTATATAACTTGTTAGTGGGAGGGGGTCTGTGGCTCTCAGGTTCTTTTCACAGGTTTTTCACAGGCAACTACAGTGGTGCCTCGCTGAACGGCGATAATCCGTTCCAGGAAAATCGCTGTGAAGTGAAAACGTCGTAAAGTGAAAATAAAAAGCCCATTGAGACGCATTGAAAACGCGTTCAGTGCGTTCCAGTGGGCTAAAAACTCACAGTCCAGTGAAGATCTTCCATACAGCGCCCATTTTCGGTGCCTGTAAAGCGAAGAAGCCATCCCTAAACACAGCAGGGAGCCATTTTAATTACCCTGTGGCCATTTTGAAACCGCCGATCAGCTGTTACAAAAAACATTGTTTTGCGAAGAATCGGTTCCCGAAGCAGGGAACCAATCATCACAAAGCGAAAAAAAACTATTAAGACCATCGTTTTGCGATTGCAAAAGCGATCACAAAAACGTCGTTGTGAAGCAGATTCATCGTAATGCGGGGTAATCGAAAAGCGGGGCACGACTGTAATTGACTGTGTGTGAACAGAACCCTCAACTAGAGAGACCTTTGGCCTGATCCAGCATGACTCCTAATTGTATTATTTTTTTAAAAAATAGAAGACCAAAACCAGTTTGTGGATCTTGCTTTTAACAAATGAACTCCTATAGCTCGCTCTGCATTTTTGTGCAATCTGCAGTGTGGACACTTCATGTTTTCTCTGTGGGAATTCCTTATACGCCCCCCCCCCATATCACAGTTCACAGATTTCGTCATGCATAAGCTGTCTGCTTTGGAGACATATCTTATGGTGGGAATTGCTTGTGGCATGAGCATTGTATATGCAAGGGCATGAATTAGCCTCACATCAAAATCATTTTAAAAATAGGAAATACTCTGGCCTTCGCTTACATCCTCTCTGCTGGCTCACTGAGCTAGATTTTATTTCTTTAGTCTTTTTATAAAAAATTTCTAAAGCAGATGTTTATGGGAGCAAAGACGTGGGAATTGCCCTTCCAGTCTCTAAATGTGTGTGGGTTTGCTTTGTTTTGTTTTTTTAAAAGCTACAGAGATGGTTTTTAGCTAGGATAAGAAGAAGCAACTTTCATTCTTGTCTCGCCAATTCTGCCCTTAACAGTGAACTGAGAATCGACGGGCCGAAACAAAGACACCCTTCTGGTGGCGTTTCTGTCTCCTCTGAGATGGTGCTAGGAATGGAAGGAGTTGAGCTGGGAGCAGACGGCAAGGTAAGGAAGCCTTTCTGTTTTGCAGATCTGTGCTAAAGTTTAGAAAATGTGAGCCTGAGGCTGTTTCAATATTTAGCTTAGGCGTCCTTCAGTCTCAAAAGACTATAGTGATGTGCTCTGTATGGAGGAGAAGTTTAGAAAATGTGAGCCTGGGGCTGTTTCCATATTTAGCTTAGGCGTCCTTCAGTCTCGAAAGACTATGGTGACGTGCTCTGTATGGAGGACTTGGAACAGCGTCTAGTGTGGCTGAGGAGGCCAATTCAAGAGTGACAATCTCTTCCACACTGAAGACAAATACAGTCTGTCCCATGTCCAGCTCCCTGGTTTTGCTGCTTTCGGGACTGCCTCTTTGCCTCGGCCTGCTGGACGAGGGTCTCTTCAAATTGGGAGAGGCCATGATGCACTGCCTGCCTCCAGGCTGAACGGTCAGATGTCAGGGTTTCCCATCTGTTGAGGTTTCAATATAAACTGGGAATAATGGTTATTTATATTCCCTTGAGTCCTTCCTTTGTATTGGGTCCGCCTTGCCATTGATTCTCAGCTCATGCGGATGCTATCTGGGAGAAAACTCAAGTCTTCTGAAGTTCTAACCAAAGTTCAACTGGTATTATTTCGTGAGGATTAGATGGTATTTTGCTCCTCAAATGGTGGGCAATTGTCCAGGGCATCATATATTTCTTTTGAGGTGGAACCACACTATGTACCTCAACACAGTTGAACAAGATGAGGTCCTGGTGTATCTCTGAACAGCACACTATGTACCTTTAACTATATCATGACTCCAACCTACAGAATTTTTGGATTTGTATTGGGTGAAGTACTTAGGATTTTCTTTTAGAGAGCTCTACTGCAGTTCTCTCATGCAGAGACTTCTAATCGCAGAATCGCTGAGTTCTAGAGCTGCAAGAGGCCAGAAAAGACCACTGGGTCAAAGCCCATGTTGAAGCAGGAAGTCTGCAGCTAAGGCATTTTTGACGAGTGGTTATCCAATTTTTTTTTGAAAAGCCTTCAACGAAGGAGTACCCATCACCTTCTGAGATAGTCCGTTCCATTGTGGAATAGTTCCTCATGTCTGTCCTGTTTACAGAAGATCTTTCTTGTAACCATGTTATCCAACTCCAACTCCTAGGAATCCAGAGTATGGAGCTACAGCAGTCAAAAGGGATTCAGACCTATACCAGATTGCTATAAAGGGGTAGTGCAGATTGTCCTGAAAGCAACATCACTTTCTCCAAAGCAAACAGCATGAAGCTGGAACCCCACAAGGCCCCTCTTTCCCCACTAGTTAGAAAATTCAGACAGGTTCATCAGCTATGTTCGAACAGACTTGTTTCTTGCAGAAATCTCAGTCTGAGCAGGTATGTTTTGTAGTTATTTCTCAGCACCTATGAAATCAGAGGTGAGGAACGTGTGTTTGATTTTGCAGCCATTAAGCCTCTTTCTGCTGCTTAAACTGTGACTGAAGAAGTCTACTTACAATAGGAAAATGTGCTCTTGGAAAGCGGGCCTAGTTACCTGTATGATTTGTCCAATTCAACAACACTTCCCTTCTATCAAGTTCTGAGAATCCCAGTTGGAGAACGGTCAGGATGTTGTTGAAATGCCACTTGAGATCCAACAATATTTTCTGAAGTAGATTTCAAGACAGAACTGGCCCTCATTGGACTTGCCTTGTTGTGAACAGAATCCAACTTTGAAAATGGCTGCAACAGAATTGTGTATCTTTTTTCAAACGGCTCTTTCGTGCTCCCCAGATCATTGCTTTGTTTTAAAGTGTAACAATAAGCCTAAGGAGTGGAATTACTGTATGTATCTTCAGAATGACTCCTAATGACTTCTCTTTCTGTGAAGAGAAGTGATTTTGAACGTAAGAGACTTAGACACCCCCTATAAAAACCATTGGCCAACTGTGTGTGGTCAACGTTAACAGAACTGATTGTCTTGCAGGTGGTGTCTTATGCAAAGTTCTTGTATCCAACCAACGCTCTTGTTGGCCGCAAAAACGATGGCCATGGTGCTGCTCCTATGTGTCGAGTTGCTGCCCCACGAAGTGCTGGAAGTTCAAGGTACAAAACTACTACAGCCAAAACAATACCGTCCACAGCAGATATTGGTAAGCACTTTCTATCCTTTATTTTCTTCTTTTACACACTGTAGAACCACTATACCCACGGTTTCATTTATCCACGGTCTGAAAATATTAAAACTAATGAAAGAAAAAAATGCAGAAAAAACTGTATTACCAGAATCAGCCACAGTCAGAGACTGTACTATGAATGCTTGTTAGTGAAGAACACATAGCATAGTCTCTGGCACCCTCTATTGGCCATTTCTGGTAATGCATGTGAAAATAGGCTTTTCCCCCCCTACATTTCTTTTTCTTTTACCGTGCTTTATGTACTATATAGGGACGTGGCGGTGCTGCAGGTTAAACCACTGAAGCCTCTATGCTGCAAGGTTAGAAGACCTGCAGCCATAAGATCGAATCCACGTGACGGAGTGAGCCCCCATCACTTGTCCCAGCTCCCGCCAACCTAGCAGTTTGAAAGCATGCAAAATGCAAAAATGCAAGTAGATAAATAGGTACCACCTCAGTGGGAAGGTAAATAGCGTTCCATGTCTAGTCAAGCTGGCCACGTGACCACGGAGGATTGTCTGTGGACAAAACGCTAGCTCTGTGGGTTGGAAATGAAGATGAGCGCCGCCGCCTAGAGTCGGACTTGACTGGACACATTGTCAAGGGACACATTGTACTATATATATTGTGTTCACTGAATCCATGGTACGGCTTGGAACCAAACTCCTGTGGCTATGGGGGGGCTGTTTTACCGTATATTATACTTAATACACCAAAGCACGTGCTGTTGGTGTAATTATAAAAGCAAGTGGCAGGAGGGGAGAGATAGAATATAGTCAGAAATAGGTTTTGCTGAAGAAGGCTGGATTAAAAGTAAGAACTGAAATTCTGCTTCTTGTACAGTAATTTAAAGCATTCAATGGTTCCATAATCATTAGTAGTGGTAGCACAAATGCTGGTAAATAAGAATATTAACAGGATAGTTTCAATGCTGTTATTCCTTTACAAAATATTGACAGGATAGTTTCAATGCTGTTATTCCTTTACAGAATAATGAGCAAAAACCAAAACACAGCAAAAATTGCAGGTGCTGAGAATCTCCATTCAACATGACCAGAGATTTTGGGAGTTGTAGTTAATTTCCACCAGCTCTGAAAAACTACATATCCCTTCCTGGGAGATTAGAATGCACTCATATAGGAGAGTTTCTTCCAGTCCTACCTTGCATGCTGCATTCTGCTTTCCTGGGCAGGCTTCCTACACTTCCAGCCATTCATATATAAGCATTGACGTATACCAGGGTGGACAGTGATAGTTGAGATCCTAGTCATTTCCCATTGCCCAAGAGAACCCCAGTTCCTCTTTATGTGTTAGCATATATACACAAAGAAAAACACATCTGTATATATGGGGTTTGTATCATCTGTTCCACATCATGGCTATCTGGCTTTAAAATTTGGGATATAGTGGTGCCTCGCTTAACGGGCGCACCGTTAAACAAAAAATAAGGAGACTAGAAATAATTTTTTTGAAATACTTCTATCCTGGCCTTTCCTTCCTCATGTCTCCAGGATGGCTTGCAACATCAGTCAAAACCATATGTAACCTATAAACCAATAGGTAACCATACCTACCCTTCCATGTGATGGGCTACAAATCCTATAATTCCCAGCCGTTTGCCATGCTGATTGTAAAGATGTTGGGGACTGCAGGTGGATGCATCTGAGAAAGAACCAGCTTGAGGAAGATTGTTGTTTAGTCGTTAAGTCATGTCTGACTCTTCGTGACCCCATGGACCAGAGCACGCCAGGCCCTCCTGTCTTCCACTGCCTCCCGGAGTTGGGTCAAATTCATTCTGGTAGCTTTGATGACCCTGTCCAACCATCTCATCCTCTGTCGTCCCCTTCTCCTCCTGCCTTCACACTTTCCCAACATCAGAGTCTTTTCCAGGGAGTCTTCTCTTCTCATGAGATGGCCAAAGTATTGGAGCCTCCGCTTCAGGATCTGACCTTCCAGTGAGCTAATAATAAACAACTCAGTATATGTACACTTAAAATCTAGATGTCGTATATTAAGCTCACTGAAGGAGAACACTAAACCCAAAGGTGTAGCAGAACTTTGTCACTTCTCTGGGGGTCCAATAAAGGGAACATGAATGGGCTTCCCAAAACGGGGTGTTTCACAAAACTTTTGTGACACAACTGCATCCTGTGTCTCAATTGCTTATTAGAACAGGATGTGAAGCAGAGCCTCTGAGATGACAGTCTGAAACTCCAACTGGTTCCTCACTCTCATTACTGTTAAAAACAGCAACAGCTAAGGAGGCAAAGAAAATGACCACCAAAAACTAGCCATTTTCCTTTGTGGCCTCATATCTTTGGACTAAATTACCTGTGGGGGTTCACTGGGCAACCTCCCTCCCAGTTTTCAAGAAGCTACTTAAAACAGAATAGTTAAAAACTGCCTTTTATTAATGTTTGTCATTTGACATTTGTCTGTGGTTTAAATTTGTTTACTTATGTCAGATTCGGTTTTATTTTATCATGTATGTTTATAATAATTATTGTATTATTTGTAGTTCGTATGTGTCGGTTGTTAAGCGCCCAGAGAGTATGTATCCTGCTATTGGGTGGTATAAAAGGCCTTGGGTTCTTTTCAAGGAGAAAGGTGGGGTAAAAATATTTTAAATAAATATTAAAACTTAACAACAATAATCTTGAGTTCATTTATTTAACTTATATAAGTTAAATAAATAAATTTATATAAGTTTAAAATAATATAAATTTATATAAGTTAAATAAACAAACAAACTTAGATGATTACGAGCATTTTGAGTTTTACTTGGAAACATACTGCTAATCTATGTAGGTTAAACAATACTGGAATTGTATTCTCGGAAGACCCAACCCCTACTTGCTGCATTTTGATAGATAAGCTGCCTGGCAGCAACTAACAGCTATAGTTAAACTGATATGGGAGTTGCAGTGTATAGAAGCCAGATTCTTTCATCGCCCTTCTAAAACAACCCTTTATGCTCTCCTATCCAGTTCTTCAGACATCGAATAGGAATTAAAACAAATTTTACATTTTTATTAGTCATTTAATGAATTATGAGTAAGAAAAAAAAATAAATTGAAAATCTTTATTATTCATACAAATGAATTGAATATATACATACGTATGGATTTATATCCCTTTCCAAGCTGGCTGGATAGCTCAGTGGTTTAGATATCTAGCTGCAGAGCCAGAAGTTGGGAATTTGATTCCCCTCTGTGCCTCCTGTGAGTATAGCCAGCCTGGGTGGCCTTGAGCCAGCTGCACAGCACCAGGGCAACCCCAGAAGAAGGGAATGGTAGACCACTTCTGTGGGTTCTCTACCCATAAAATCCTGGAAAGGGTCACCATGAGCCAGAATTGACTTGATGGCACACAGTTATTAATTATTACAGTATATCCCTTGCCGTCACTACCAAAACATGAGATGGCAATGGGTTTTTTAATGCCGTTGCTAAGGGATACAAACTAAGATGAGGAATGAAGAACTTAACCCAGATACCAACTGACCTATTACTTTAAGAAATTTTCAGGCCAAATATGCACAATTGCTGAAATTCTACTGCGCACCTCCATGTATGCATCAGACATGATGTCATCATTAATGGTGAACAACCAACTGATTAAAGGCAGTTTTGGGGTGTATGTGACACACATACTAGTCAAGCTCCTGTTGCTTAATGTAGTAAACTGCACTAGAGCAGACAAATCAATGGGGATTTAGTGACTTACTTTAGCGTAGTAAGTAACAGAGTATTCCCATTTGAGTCAATGGAGGTTATGGAAGAGTTGACCCACTAAATCACCATTGATTCAATAGGCCCACACTATTGCAATTTATTATACTAAGCAATAGGATTGTGGCCAATGCAGTGAAGTCACCCACACAATCACTGAAGAAGGGCTTTAATTCATGGCAATTTGCCGCTGAGGATGATTTCCGAAGTGTATAACAGGATTTCAGTCATTCTCTCTTAAATGCTACCAGTTTAATTTAATTTGTGGCTGAGTAGGGGGATTCAGCCCTATATAATACTTGGATTCATCCGTTGTGCATTGAAATATCATGACTGTTTGAATATATAAAAAAGAATTCATCTGAGCCTCATTAAAATGACAAGGCGAAAGGAACAAAGGAGGCCTTTTCTGAAAACCAAGGAAGTGCTTTAAGAAACAAAAGCCTAAAGAACAAGTTGTACAAATCTGGGCAAAGTACCAACAACCTGAAAGTTGTTTATTTCTCATATTTAATACATACCCTATCCAGCCCAGGGTTGACTTTTGCAAATGCATCCCCAGATTGTAAGTTTCTTAACGTCCTCTTTATTAGGAAGCTGGTTTTCCTTAAGTTGCTAAGACCACTACATAAAAGCCAGTGAGGCCTGCAAGAAAATGTTTCTTTTTATGGTGCCTGTTGATCAGCCATGTTCCATTCCATTCTACCTCTATGGGGCCCAGGTGTATCTTCCCATTTTATTGTTGGTATTATTTGCCCACAAAGCATGCTTTCACTGAGTCTCTGCAGGGAGTTCCCCCTCTCTTTTTTAACCCATAACTTCTATCAGCCCAAGCCAACATAGCTAAGGGTGAGAAATTATAGAAGCTACATTCCCAGAACATCTGGAGGGTCACAGCCGTGACACCATCTGTAATGCAGTGCATGTTTTCTATACATTCTAAAGTTAAGTGGCATTACCCTAGATGCCTTCTTCTTAAATTGTCCTTCAGTACATCAATGAACTCCATCTGCATCTCCCTGTCTTTTCCTTATTTCTAGGAGGTGACGTCGGGGAGTTGGTAGAATACAACCCTAATCTTCTCGACGATCCTCAGTGGCCCTGCGGAAAGCACAAGCGTGTCCTCATCTTTGCGTCGTACATGGTAAGATGTTGAGATGGCCCACCTTTGCAGCAAATGCAGCCCTGTGGCTTTGTTCGGCTTTGTCTCCCCCTACGTGATTGCGGACAGTGTCTTGTTTTGTGTTCTGCTTTTGCTCTTTGAAATGGAATGGCTGCTTACAAATAAAATGAAAAAGTCGCCATTCTGGCAATTAATAAATATTTGTTTTGGATGGCAGTGTTGTTATCATTCTTCCGTAATAGCTTGTATATGAGAACGTGTACACGCACGTTACATTAGCATGGCAATTTGACCCTCCGGGAACTCTGTGAGTTTCACTAAATGGACTCTGTGCTTATCACTGAATGTCGTGCTTCACATAATGGAGAAGTGCTGTGATCTTATTCCCCCCCAGCGCTGTTTATCTCACATGAATGGAAACCGCAGTTCATGGAGTGGGATATCAGTTTCTCTGCTGCAGGATGAATACCACTTCTCCCCATATTTATTTCTTCGACCTCTAATTCCATGCCAGATTCTCCCACACTCAGACCATTCCTTAGGATTTATTTTACTGGTTCACATCCTAGCTCAGGTGCCTGGCATACTCCTTGGTTTGATTTAAGTATCTAGCCTGCACTATTTTTTAAAAGCTGCTCCATTCACTTTTTCAGATTTAAAATAATTTTCTAGGGGAAGAGGAAGTGGCAGCCTTATGCAGCCTAAGAAATCAGCGCAGCCCAATAAGAAGGCGTGAAAGAAGTGGCTTTGGCTGTTTAGAGTATCTTTTGTTAAAGATAACCGGTTGTCCTTGAGTTCGGTTCAGTGTTCAGGGTTATATATCAGTCAAAAAAGTGGTGCATGTGGTTCGCAGTAGACTTATATATGTGTAGCTGTATCCGGTCTTTGAGAAAGAATCAAGTAAGAAAGAATCAAGGGGTGTGGTGGCGCTGCGGACTAAACCGCAGAAGCCTGTGCTGCAGGGTCAGAAGACCAGCAGTCGTAAGATCAAATCCACGCAACGGAGTGAGCTCCCGTCGCTTTGTCCCAGCTCCTCGCCAACCTAGCAGTTCGAAAACATGCAAATGTGAGTAGATAAATAGGTACCACCTCGGTGCGAAGGTAAAACAGCGTTCCCTAGTCATGCTGGCCACATGGCAACGGAAAACTGTCTTCGGACAAGCGCTGGCTCTACAGCTTGAAAACAGGATGAGCACCGCCCCCTAGAGTCAGATAAGACTGAACTAAAAATGTCAAGGCGAACCTTTACCTTTACCTAAGAAAGAATCAAGCAGTATACTTCTCACATGCTTGTGAAAATTAGTGAAATGTCTGAACCAGGATGCCTCTGGTTTGCTTCTTACTTCAACCATCAGTTCATCAAGCCATGATTTCCTAGATTCTGCTGCCTCTCGCCCCTGCTCCATTGTACAGCAGTAATATTAGCCATGGGAACAGACTATATGACCCATCCACAGACTAGAGAAGGGGGAAAGAAAGAAAGCAAAACCACCATCCCTTCTCCTGAGACGCTAGCTTGACTGGGCTTTGTCTCTCCTCAAACTATCACCCGGCAGCCATTCCACTGGGCTTAACAATCTGCGACAGTAAGAACTTGTCTCCTGAACTTCTTTGTTTTCTTCTATCTGTCCCCTCTACCTTTTATGCCATGTCTTTTTACATTGCAAGCCTGAGAGCAGAGACACTTTTTTTTAATGACGCGAGAGCCTTTTCAGATGTGAAGTGGGTAGAAATACAGTAAATAAATCAGTCCACTTCACGGGGTGTTTGTAAGGATTACTGGCCATGTACCTGAAGTGGTTTGAAGTCCTTAAATCACACAGAAATACCAAGGACTCCTAGTTTCAGTAGTAATAGACTGAAAGATGATTTTAACATCTTGCTTGTGAACTTCCCGGAATCATCCGACT